GCCGCTGCCGTTACTGCTTTGGATGAATCATAACATGGACGTGAACACATAACATAGCAAAAACATGATCCCCAGCCAGTCAGTCAGTTCCTTCACTAGTCCCTGGCACGTGGCAGACTGGGAATTGGCAGAGGACAAATTGGATCCTATGAGAGAAATAGAAGAGGACTAACAAGAACACAGCGCTCAAACAGACAACTTAGAAGAGAAGACTAAAAAACACACACACACAACTTTCACGCGAGTGAGCAACTTCAACTGCTGAGCAAACTAATTAAAAGCAGAGAGAGTGTTTGAATATTTTTCTGCTGCTAGCCGCAAGAATCAGTGGGCCAGACAAAGTAAACTACAGCAGAACCCTAAAGAGGCAAATTATAAAAGCGCCGACAAACTGAGAGAAGAGGAATTATTCATTCATTCACTGGCTCATATTATTCAAATCAGTCGCGGAAAATAGCAAAGAGAAGGAGAGAGAATGCTGAAAAATGAATGAAAATTAATGATCGCAGAAGCGAGCGCTAATTTTCAAACACGTGTCGCAACCAGGGCTAAGGCTAACTAGGGCCCACACCATGTTTAAACATGGCAATTAAAAATTAATAAAAGGGAAAAGGGTTCTACTCACGTGACAGAAGAAGGGGTAGGAAGGGGTGATAAGCTGTTTGTTATTGCACCAAAGATGAATGGAGGGACCAGAAAGACTGAGATGTTTTTCATTTGAATTTGAAGAGTTGTTGCGGTTGTGGTGGTTGTGGTGAACAAGAGATTAGATTGCTTCGGTGGTTTTGTGGTGTTCTGTTCGGTAAAGTTGAAAGATAAACAGAGAAAAGTTTGACTGATGCCTGTCGGTCTGTTATTCTAAAGTATTAGAGTCCAACTCCAGCTAAGTCCGAAAATAGAAATTGCAGATAGTAGTTCTTTGAAAGCTTGAAAGATGATGATGAAAGAGTTGAGTGTGTTTGAGTCACTGTTTGTCAAGTTGTTCCGAGTTGTTCCAAGTTGAGCATTGAGAATTAAATATTCTTCAGTTCAGTTAAGCTCAGCTCAAAGCATTTCCTTATCTCTCAGAGAGGAAGAAGAAGAAGAAGAAGGAATTGGATGAGGAATTGAGGAGGGGAGAGGAGAAGAGGACGACAATGGCAATCGATTCAGAAAGCGAAATAGAAACAGCCAGTGTCCAAAAAAGAGAGAGGCGTTCAAGCAAGCCAGCTTTCCTTTCTGCTGATTTGGGCAGTTATTTTTAGAGGCAAAGCAGCTGTGCTACGGTGGTGGTGGTGACAAACGAAGAAATAAATAATAAGTGGCGAATAATTTAGCTCGCTCCAGCAATTTAATTCGAAGGCGACGGAGACGGCGGTCAAATTCCTTGAGCACCACTTTCTTGATGAGACAGAGTCTTGAGAGATTCCCTTCTAAAGTGTGTGCAAGTAGAAACTGTGTGCTTGCAAGTAGGACGCTGGTGACCATCTAGGAAATTCCTTGGCGAAAAATCTTTAACTTCAAAGGATGTTCTCCATTTCAAAGGAAAGATTGACATTTACATTTACATTGAAGTGAGATGAGAGAATTTTGCTTGACCGAAACGACCTCATTTGAGAGAATTTGGGAATGAGAGGTTTTGGCTTGTCCCGGACAGACATTCTGGTGACAACACTTGCAGACACAACCACACACATTTAGCACTCAAATTCCTGGCAATTAGCACACTTGAAAAATTCGAAATTGATTTGAGGATCTTCCCCCGCGGATTCGAAATTGATGCTGCTGCATCACCGCTGGCGACACCTGTCGTCGGCCAAGGGAACCAGCAAAGAGTGAATGATTGAATGATTCAGTACACATCGGTTTGTCTGTTTGTTTTTGCTGCCTCTGCCGAACCAGAGAAGGGCAGAAGTTCGGGCTCCAGAGGTTGGCGCACTTTATTTGTTGTTGGTGGTGTTCAAAAGGGGAAGGGAAGGGAAGATGGGTGGGAAACATAGAGTGAGTGAACTTCCGCTCTTCAGTTGAAGCGGCAGCAACAGCTTTCTGTTTTAATGGTGGTTTTGATGGTTGATCACTCCACCACTTTAGACCTCCTTGGTCTCTCGAAGGCGGCGGATGGCCGAGCGGAGGACAGCAGCAGAGTTGGTGGCAAAGACGTAGGCGCCGCCGGCCACCGTCTTCTTGCAGGCCTTGCAGGACCAGATGCCGACGCAGGTGCGTTTCATCGACTCCTGAAGAGAGCAAAGAGAGACATTTATATTAGAATTAGGGCTCGATTTGGTCAGTATCATCAAAAAGACCACACTCCAAACGCTTACCTTGCCGCAGAAGGTGCAGGTGTACTTCTGGTGCTGGGTG